TGGACAGACGCAGAGGGGAGGAGAAAAATATTCACAAGTTGACCTTTTATATTTACTGCAGTGTTCCTAAGCTTGGGAAACATGTACTGTACTGAGACTGACACACAAATTACTCAAAGGTCACCTTATTCAGCCTTTCAAGAGGAGTCCATCCCACTGATAGCATCAGCCGTTTTTCACTGAAAGGAAACAAAGAACCTGTTTTGATGACAGAAATATCGCTACTGCTGTTTCTTAGACGCTGCTAGATTTTGCTTTTCTCTGCACTGAAGCACTTCACTTGTTTCTGGCTCTTGTAAGGATTTAGTTTATTTTCATGTTGTAAAAAAAAATAAAAAATACTGTATGGTACAAAGCCACAGGATTAAAATTAATTGAGAATCCACACACTGTTCTCTGGCAGCAGATTGTTTACTTGTTTGTCGGGTGCATGTGTGTGCCAATTCAATGTCGAACCAAGCCAACTTGGTGTGTGTGTGTCTGTGTGTGTGTGCCTTTGCACTGTGTCAGGGGGAATAGCCTGTTGGGGTTATGGAGGGTGCAGCGCGGGGTGATGAATAGGATGCTTTTGTGCTCGGCCCCACAGCTGTCTACAAACCAGTGAAGGAGAGAAAGGTGAGGGAGAAAGGGGGTAAGGTAAGAGAGATAGCCAAATAAAGGGGAAGAAAAGAGCGAGGGAGATAAAATAGCGCAGAGGAGATGAGAGCGTCACTGCTCCGCATGGGGAGTACAGGTGAGATACTGGGAGCTGAGAGGTGAGAGAATGGGTTTAGAGGTGAGGAAGAGAGGTGGGGAAGGGGGGATGTGAGAAAGGAAAGGAAAGAGCGACTGCTTGTGCATTCAAGAACACTGCACCGTTGTCTCTTCAGCCAACACAGAGACAAAGACGTTGGCTAATGTAGGAAATCGTTGACATTCATGTGCATGGACAAAAACAAAAAATGCCTCCAAAACAATAAGAAAAAAGAGGGCGAGAGAGGAAGCAGACCTGACCTCATGGCCTCAACCTTCACACATGATGGGGTTTGAAAATGAGCCAATCATAGTGAGTGATGCTGATGAGTTCGGCCAAAGCTGTTGGTGTTGCTGTGGCCACTTTAACACCTATCACATAAGGACAACCACTGGACTGTTTCTAATAAATAAAAAAAAACATTTTAAAAAGTAAAATACATTTTAAATGGCACTGCATTACAATAGAGGCCGATGTGGGAGCACCAGAAGGTCAACTGTGATGCAAAGTCTTGATATGTGATATTTCAGAGACCTTTAAAGCACTTAAAACATTAAACAAGCATCACATGAGAAGGAAAACACCAGAAACCTTTCCGACCTTAGACTTAAAGCAGAGCAGAGACAGTTCGCAACAAAAAAAAAAAAACAAACCAAAAAAAAAGCTGCCTGCTGACAGGCAGGGCTCGATATATTTTCAGAGCTGAGCATCAGAAATTGTCAACTGTCAACTTGTGTCAAGTATTTTTGACCAAGTAGATCCTTATTTACATCCACTTTTAGATTTCACTGTAGCAACATTCTCGAGAGGCTGTTTCACCAATGTTTATGCAACCCCAAATTCAAAATAGTTAGGACACAGAATGCAATGATGTGCAAATCCCATAAACTAAATATTTTATTCACAGTCGAACACAGAAAACATATCAAATGCTTAAAATGACACATTTAACTCTTTCATTTTAAGTATTGGCTCATTTTGAGTTTGATGGCAACAACACGTCTCAAAAAAGCTGGAAAAGTAGGTGGTACTAAAAAGAAACAGCTTGAAAGTAACTGGCTTACTTAGCAATCGGTCAGTAACATGATCTACCAAAGCCTGGATCTACAGATGGTGGCTCAATTTCAGATGTTCCTCAACTTAAAATTGCAAAGACTTTGAATATCTTATCATGTAAAGTACATAATATCAGCAAGAGAGTCCAAGAATCTGGAGAAATCTCTGTGCGCAAAGGCTGAAAATCAATATTGCGTGTCTGTGATGTTCGGTCTCTCAAGCGGCAAAGGGTGTTTTCATGGAAATCACTGCATGGGATCAGGAACACTGTGTATATCCATATATGCAGGTTAAAGCTCATAGAAAACATGAACTAAAGAGAAGAGAGACCATCTGGCTTGTTCAGCGCTCAGTTTAAAAGCCTGCATCTCTGATGGTATGGAGGTGCATTAGTGCCTGTGGACTTGGCAACACATTGGCACATCTGGAAAAGCACCATCCGTGCTGAAAGGTATATACAGGTTTAGAGCAACATATGCTCTCATCTCTTTCAGGGAAGGCATTTCATACTTCAGCAAGAAAATGTTAAACTGCATACCGCACGCATTACAACAGCATACCTTTGTAGTAGAAGAGTGTGGATGATGAAATGACCTACCTGCAGTCCTAGACCAGTTGTAAACATCTGGCATATCATGAAATGAAAAAAATAAAACAACAAAACCCAGGACTGTTGAGCAGGTAGAGTCTTATATCAGACGCAAACTTAACTGCAAAAGTCCAGCAGCTGCTCTCCTAAGTTACCAAACTTTTGCAGACTGTTGGTTAAAGTAGAGGGGACGCTGCACAGCTGTAAACGCGACCCTGTCCAACCTTTTGAGATTCATTGATGCCATCACATTTAAATCCCCCTTATATTTTTCATAAAATGGTACATTTTCTCAGCTCAAATTATGTTCTCTATGTTCTGTTTTTAATAAAATGTGAGTTTATGAGACTTGAAAATCATTGCACTCTATTTTTAATTACATTTTACACAGCTTTTTGGGGACGCAATTTGGGTTGTACATTTAGCATTCAAGAATATACTTTAATACAATGAAAACTGCCTTAGTGATCACTAAAAATGTCTAAAAGGCATCAGTCCCAGTTCTTCACATGTGTAGACACTGTCGTGTTGTCTGACAGTATTAAGTGGAACAACTGTTAGACAGTTTGCTCAAATAAAACAAAGGCTCTGCATGTTCTGGTAAGCTGCAGCAGGAATGCAGTTGGAGAAAATGTGAACAGAAGTAAATATAAATAAAGAAAAATACTGCAAAATACTGAAATAAGAATTCTTATTACTTCAGAGCTGTGTGTAATTGCACTGAAATGAGGTCCATCATGTAGATTTGCCTGTATTTTATTGATGAAGAACCCAAAGAAGCAAAGAGATAAATACATCCCTCTATCCAAATACGTGTATTCATTTACCCTTCTAATCTGACTCTCTGTACAGTACGTTCCTCGTGTGTTCTGTTTTACATACATAAACATTACTGAGGTGTTGAGTCATCGATAACAGGAAGAAAATTGAAAAAATAATGAATTAAGCTTAATAGAATCTCTGGTTTATGTTGAGAAAAGCTGCAAAACAACCTTTTTTTTGACATTTCTAGACAACTGTGAATAACATTTTCATTTTCATCCCTCTCCAAATCCTCCCAAGAACACTTAAAATAATGCAACAGAAAAAGAAGAAGAAAAATCGCCTGTTGATTCAGGCACACGGATGCCCGATCCTGCTCGCTCTTGTTGTTTTGTTCTGCCTGTTTCCGAATGAGAATTGTCCTGGAATAACTAACCCTAGCGTGGACAGATAAATGCATTCCATCTTCCCACACCAGGGTGCTCTGAGGCGATCGCAGCATGACTTTTCTATGATGAAACAGCAGCAAGCGGTGGAGGGCTGAGGGAGTGGGCGAGCAGGACACAAACTGCTTTTCTCCACAAACAGCAGGATGAGATGCGGAGCTGGCAGCGATATGGCATCCATACCACGAGCTCAGCCAACACAGCATGCGTCCTCACACTTGCTTTGCAAAGTCATAGGCTATCCACATCTTCTGACCACATTTGACTAATAGCATATGCGCGAAATAAACACACTGAGTCAACTGAGCTGTGTACGAGCAGGCGGATTTGCATGTTAACAACGAGAAATGTCTCGCGCCTTCATTTGTTTCGTGCGGCTTGTAAAGCGACTGTTACTATCAAAGAGTAATCAAAGATATCCTGAACAGCAGCAAACAATGGCAGAACAGTGTTGATGAAGCCAGGTGATGATGAGGGGAGGCAGACATCATTAGCCCCCATCATCACACTTCATCAGAGTAGAGGGAGTGTGCCCGCTCTGTTAGCGTAATGAGCTGGAAGTATGAACAAAAGCAGATGGCTTTATGAGTCAGACAATAAGGCACTCATAATTGAATCTATATCATTCATTTCAATTTAAGCAGTCAAGCCATTTTTCCTCCTTTCTGTATCTCAATAGAAATCCTTAATCAATGCATTGAGGAGCTGCCATCATAATGAATCAGGCGCACTTCAATGAGACTTTTCAATTCTGCTGGGAATAATTCATGAAGGCTGAAAGAGAGGTAAAGTACAGCGCAGCCTGTGCTGTATGATAAAGGTAGGAACAAGTATTTCCCATCTTAACATCTGTATGAAAGAGTGTTTATTTTTACCATACATCATCCATAAAGGAACTAACATTACCTTATTACACACAGGAATGTATGCCATATGACTAATCATACTATAACGTTACATATTTTTTTATATCCCTATAATCTACTGATTAAATCTACCGAGTTGGTTACCCTTTCTTCGAGCTTATACATTCATAAGACTAGTTGCAGGCTAACATTCTGGAAGAAAATCAAGTTATGGCTGACAACAAGCACAGGGTATGATTCACAAACCCCTGGCACATGACACCGGCTGTCAATCACCCAGACTTTACCATCACCTCCAAAGTATTTGTGCAGAAAGCACCGAGTGAAACTTGGCGGCTGCTGGAGCTTCTCTAATCTGTTTTCCCTCTTGAAGAGCTCACAGCAGGACGCTTTGCCCGTGGAGCAATTAAAGCCTCTTTCTTAATCCAGCTGCCCTTGACTGCAAACAACTGGAAGTCCTCTTCCCTTTCCTTCCTTCCTCCTCCTACACCACCTCCTCCTTCTGTTTCTCCTCCGCCTCGCTATACAGCAAGTGCAACAGTACTCACCCCCAGTTTCTTACTCCGTATCCTCACGTATCCCTGCTTGACTATATCGTTGAAGTTAGAAGCCATGGTGAGAGGGAAGCTGGCGGCTTCCTGTCCGAAAGAAGGAAAAAGAAAAGAAAAATAAAGTAACCTCTCTCTTTCTCTCTTTTTTTAATTTTGAGTAGCGGAATCTTTTACTTGAGGCTCGGTCCGTGTGACATCCAGCAGGAGGAGAGCGAGAGGTGGGCAACCTGCTCCGGTGTCAGCCAGTATGACGCTTGGGTTGGCCGGCTTCAGCGGCGCGATCCATCCGGGAGAGGAGGGAGATACCATTCGTCAGCTGATTCACTTCAGCCGGAGAGGAGAGCAGAGGCGCGCTTCCTGGACCACACCACCACGCACCGGCGATGGGGGCGTGGAGGATATGTGCTGAGGAAGGTGGTGGTGCTGGTCATTTTTATTTAGTTTCATATTAAAAGCCCACTTTGTTCAAAAACGAAATCCCCTTCCTCTCGCTTTCCCTTTTGCAATCGTTGTAATTCAAAAAGTCACTTAGTGGGAGTCATACCTACTGTGATTAATATCCCCGAGGAATCAGTGGAAACTGTAATGGTTGTCTACTGGATTAGTTGGCATTAGTCCAAAATGCTGGACTCTATTTCCTCTGTTAGTCTATTTTAGCAGGACTAAGCTCCCAGTCTCAGAATATTGTGCTCATTTTATTGTAGCCTTATAAAATAATGTTTTTCATGACAGGCAGCACTATCTTTAACCCTTTATGGTTTACTCATGGAAACACATGGAAATTCAAAATTTCACCCCTAGAGCATCTTACATGACTTTTTTTTTTTTTTTTACTTGTGTGCCTTTTTCCAATTGTATTTTAATTTTTATGGCAAATCTAGTTCAGTGAAATAACCATAATATGGTTCCTCAGCCCCTTTTAGGGTATACGTTTTTCCAAAAAGTGTGTATATACAAAACATAGAAAAACACATTAATTTAAAGTAACGTTTATTTAAGAGCATTTTCTTTTCATTCACAATGGAAATGTCCAAAACTGTAACAAACATATTAAAGCACAGCCCTGACCAGTCACAGGCAACTGCCTCGCAGTAACATGGTAACATGCTGTATCATGGTAACATGATATTTTCTTCAAAGATTTAAGTTCATTTCAGGTCACCTACTGAACTGAGCATGTGTATACACCTTAATACAGGCTGTTCTATTTTATGGCACAGCACTTGATAGGTTGACTTCCATAAAAGAGCCAAGCAGACAGCTGCAAAAGAAAAACAGGTTTTTGTCAATATCCAGCCAGAATTGAAGGAAAACAATAACACTGAAGTGTTGAGCTACTGAAAACAAAATACACTGACATGGGAATTGTAAATATATGACAAGAAGTTAAAAAACAACAACATAATAACTACTGATGGGACCAATTTTTCCTAAATAAATTACAAATACCCAATTACTAAATTAATTTAAAATAATAACACTAAGTAAAAATAAACACCATTATGTGCAATTTAAGTAGTTAAACTATAAGATCATCAGAAAAAAGATCCCACTGTACCCTTTCTAGTCTGAAAATGTTGAAAATTGGTTACATTTCTCATCCGATCACTGTATAGTGTTATAGAAATTAGAGGAAACATCCAAATATACCATTTACTGGTCTATATTTTAATAGTGTATTTTTGTTAGTAAATAACACAATTATGGCTCCTTAAATGTATCTGGTGGGTGCCTAAAAATGGACTATCACTGTTATGGTAGGTAAACAGGGCACACGATCAAATATGGTGCCACCATTTTTATGTTACAAATATCACTCATTTCTAGAAATCCAGCATTAACAACACCCATCTCAACATTTATAATAATTATTTAACTGTATAATGCATGGGTTTCATCAGTTTACCACAATTGGTTTCGATGCTATGACCACAATTGTGGTAGGTGTAAAAAACCCAGTTTCCCAAATTCTTGAAAAACTCCAGAGTTCAAAATGCTCCAGGCCACTGCTGATTGGTCAGATCCATTAACGTCCCTATCACATTGCCTGATCAATCCAAATTTCAATGTCTGTTTAAGTTCCTTGCCCATATTTTCTTGGATTAAATAAATAGCTCAGCCTTCATCTTACAAATAAAAGGCTAAATTTACTCCTATGACTCCATTTATTTTAATAATTATAACAGAATTATAATATAGTCTTTTTAATGATTCTCACCAAAAATGGTTGATATCCCGATGTCATCTTCCTGATGAAAACTGTGCCACTAGACCAAAAACTGAACCGTAGAGTGTAGAATAGAGGTAAATAAGGAGTTAAATGTATATTCTTTAAAACAATGACAATTAATATGTTTGGTACATTGTTGTGTACAGTGACTGCTGAAGACAGTCATCAACACGTCTCCTCCAAGTACACAGACTAACATAACCAGCCTGTTTAAAAAGCAAAACCACAAACAAACAAAACATGTACATTTTTTTTCATCTAAATTCTATTTCATTTGTGACACGATGAAACTAACATTGGACTCTCCGAATCTGTGATCCTGTGATGTCGGCATCAACTCGGGAATGCTCTTACATACGTGAGTCAGCTCAGAGGGACCTGTTAGCTCGTATGACGGACCTGAGAGAATGAGGTTGAGACAATAATGAGGTGCTGATTGTTTCTTTGCCTTATTCGTTCTATAAAGAAACTTCTTATAAAGATATGGTAAAAAGCCATTCTTGAACACAAACTTTCACTTAAAAGAAAGTCGAACACGGATGTTTAGGCAACGTTGAAGGTGTGACCATCGTGGTAACATCTGCAACCTCAAACGTACATTTTTAAACTGTTTTTCAACCACAGCTAGATGTTGAGAAAAGGCTGCCAGCCCACATTTATTAAGTGTTTTCTGGGTTGTAACTTCAGATTTTTCTTTCTTTTCTTCTTTTTTTAACATTAAGTTAGGTTAGTCTGTTTTAGTTAGTTTTGAAAGTTGCACGCTACCTAAAATTGTTTACAGTAAAACCTTTTCCTTATTTCCTAACGTGAAACGCGAATTGTTACGCCTTTATCCTAGTGTACCTTCCAATACAAGTATTTTTAGATAAATAAACGAACAGAGTCACCAGCAGGTTTGCAAAGTTTAACTTCTTTTCATCCTTTTTAAAAAAATCACCTTTAGGGTTGCATCAGGAAGGGCATCCAGTGTAAAACGCTACCAAATCAACAGGGGGATCTACCTTTGTGAGGGAAGAGAGCAGCAAAAAAGTAGCGTCTTTTTCTGTTTCTTATATCAGTTAATAGAGAGAAAAAAAACAGCAGAGAAATCAGTTCAAGTGATTATTTGTTGCTAACCCCATATAATAGATATCAGGTTGTGACTCAACAACAATTAGCCAAAACTGATTTACCTGCAATATCTTGATGTCCCTTTGTTCTGTACAGACTTGAACTGTTTTAGTCATTATAGGCATTTGCCATTCATCCTTTTTTATCATTAAATTCGTGTATAAGCTGGTGCTCAAGGTCAAGAAGATGCTCTCCTTGATCACTGTTAACATGCAGTGAATTCAATAAGACTACTTGTTTACTGAATTTTGCTGTAACTTTTGAAACCTGAAGTAACCACTCAAATTCTACTCCTCAACAATGTTCAAAGAAAATATGCAAAAACACAACAGAGCTTGGTGTTCAGACTAATTTGCGACGCACTTTGTACCTTGCCTTTTGGTTATTACCTGTCTCAGTATGAATAGCATTTCCATATTTTTCACCAGACAGTCCGCTAATAAGGAAATACAATTTGAGATTGCTAGTGTGCGAGCTCTGTGTTTTGTCATTATTAGGCGGCCCCGAATTGATGTTGTTTGATTTGCTGAATAATGCAACCAGAGAGGTGAGTGCCCTATTAAAGGATCAAATGAATAGTAGGAAACCAGACAGTAGAAAGCATGGCACCGCCGGCTGGAGCTTGTAAGTAGCAGATACAATGCTGCAGATTGGCAATCAAAAAGCACCGAAAATAAAAGCACAGAAACAAATTCTGATCCCTGCCAGAGCTTTAATCCTGATGTAGTGAGAGGCGTAGCTCAGGTTGTACAGCCGTAGCTTGTGAAATCCTTGGTATGAGACAGCAGATGCTTCAGGTGCAGTGATACGAGTGGCTGTCATTGCTTATGTTGTTTAAAATGTCTGTGTGTGGGGGGGGGTGGCTTATGTAACAGAGTTATATAAAGTATACAAAACTCTACATAAAGATCAAAGGCTTTTAATTCCTGGAGAGGTTTTTCCAGATTCTTCTGTCTAACACTTTGCATTATAACAAGAAAGCCACAGATTTCATTGTAAAAATGAGGACACAAACACTCCAGAGCAGCCTGTGTTTTTTCCGGTTTATCCCGGCACAGTTATCCTATTGCGAGTACTAATTTATTTATTTATTGTGTTTCACCAAAAATGAAATATCCCCTGCTGGTTGGAGGCCCTTTTTCAGTGCGGCATTGACGGCTGCCACTTTGAGAAGTGTCATCCTGTCAAGTGTCAGCTTTTAAGACCAGAGGTAAAACTCAGTTTCTGTTTTTCTTTTCTTGTTTTTTTTGTGTCGCTTTCTTCACATTCACAGGGGCACGCAGAACAGCAAGCTGCCACCCCTCCAACAAACAGCTTGACTTTGATAGTCTTCGTGTCTCTGTGGATGTGTCCTCAAATTTCAGACTTGTCAAAGTTGTTTTGTCTTCATAATCCTCTTTGTACAACATTGCGCTCTTCCATTCCCACTGCCTTGTCATCCTCTCTCTAAGAAAACAATGCTGACAGCAACAATTTCTTATTTATTGCACTAAATATTGTGCTCTGGTGACTGTCATTACCAAGGACTGTCCTAGTTTTGGGGGAAATAATTGCCTGCCGTGATACAAGACCAGCAATCATTCGGTCTCCGGTTGGTATCAGGTAGAGGGGCTGCCTCCACAGCGTGCAGGCTGCCACACAAATCAACATACGGCCCCGTCATACATGAACGGCTGCCAACGGGGGTCAGATGTGGCGAGACTCGCTCAGGAGCAGAGAGACCTTCACCAAGGTCAGTAACCAAAATCTGCTGAGCTGTGGAAAACAACTCCTTTCCAATATGGCAACTTATCAAATATTGACCTCATAATCATCACCATTTTTCATACACGTTTCGCATCACCTGTCTAATTCCCTTCATGTCTATGATGATTAATACGGGGGAAGACTGAGAAACCACAGCATCCATTAGAGCACCAAGCATTCCTAAAAAACCTCCCCGGAGCTGTTTATTCGGTCACTGCGGAGCTAAACGCAAAT